CCCAGCGCGCCGAGCGTCGCGGGAAAGGACTCCTGCAGGAAGGGATAGGACGCCTCGTCGGCGTCGCCGAGCTCGGACAGCGTCCTCGCTTTTAGGGGTGATCGGACCGGAGACCGCGGGCTCGTCGACATGCTGCCGCTGCCGCCACGAGGCGACACAGCCTTTGCCACAGGCTGTCTCGCTTGCATGCATCGTGCGGTTCGCGGTCGACAGCATTGAAGGTCGAGGCGATGGCCCGGCCTTCCGTCGCCCTCCGGGGGCTCCTCGCGCTGGCCGCGGCCCGCGCCCTGCAGCGCGTCCCGGCTCGCGTCCGCTGCGCCCCGACGGCGCGCTTCGCCGACGTCGTCGAGGAGGCGCCGGCGCCCGAGGGCGCCGAGGAGGCGCCCGAGGTGACGGTCTTCGCGGCGCCCGTGCTGAGCTCCGAGGAGATGGCGGCGCGGGACGGCGCGGGCCCGCTGCGCGAGTTCGACTGGGACGCGCACCTGTTCCGCCTCGAGACCGACGCCCAGGCGGAGCGCGACGCCGTGGCGGAGGCGGAGCGGTCGGCGCTCGCGGGCGGCGACGAGTGGGCGCCCGGCGAGGGCGAGGTCGAGCGGCTCGCGGCGCCGCGCATCGTCGACGACGAGCCGAGCTTCCTCAAGCCGCGCTGGGACGAGGTGGACCCGGCGGAGCACGGCTACCGGGCGATGCCGCCGTCGCGCGGCGCGAGCTGGTCGCGGATCCGCATCAAGTCCGACTGGTGGCAGTTCGAGGACGGCGAGCGCCTCAAGAAGGAGGAGGGCTTCGTGCGCTTCGACCACAAGGCCTTCAACGTCACGAACGCCCTCTTCGAGCCCACGCTGGCCTTCGACTACGGCCACCTCGACCTCGACGTCGTGTCCAAGATCGCGCCGGCCATCGAGACCCTCGGCTCCATCTGCCAGCTCCTCGAGGCCCACGACGGCGTCGTCCGCATCAAATACACGGGCCTCGCCAAGAACCGCGTCGGCATCGAGGCCTACGCGACGGGGCTCGTCCGGGACCTCTACCCGGAGCTCGAGACCCTGACCTTCGACGCGCGGCACGTCTCCGACTACCAGGACGGCTCCTACGACTGGAACTAACGACGATGCATTGTACATCTCTTAGCCGAAGCCCTTTTTCCCGCCCTTCTTCTTCTGCGTAGTCGTTTTCTCCGCCGGGGGCGCCGGCCCCGCCTCGGGCGCGGCCTCGCCCGACCGCCCGTTGACGAGGAGCAGGTGGACGCCGAACTGCGTCTCGACGACCTGGAGCTCGCCGATGGGCCCCGTCATCGCCGCCTCCTCGAACTCCTTCGCCATCTCGCCGCGCCGGAAGACGAGCTCGCCCGGGCGGCCCCGGAGCATCTTCATCCGCGCGTCCGGCGTCTTCTTCGCGGAGCCGCAGGTGCTGTACTGCTGCGCGGCGCGGCCGACGGACTCGGGCGTCACGCCCTCCTCCCGGAGCGTCCGCTCGAGCTTCACGTGGTCCGCGAGCCCACGAGGACGTGTTGCACCGACGCCTCCTTCGTGGCCTCGGCGAGGCCCGACGTGACGCTGCTGGCGATGTCGTCGAAGAAGCCCATGCGCGCGCGCGTCGAGGCGCGCGGCGGCGGCGCGGCGCGTTGGAAGCTCGAAACGAGTCCGACGACGAGGCATGCGACGAGCATCATTGCGAGCGGCGGCGACGGCGCGTGCGCTGTGCTCTGCTGTGCTGCGGCGGCAAGTTTTGTGGTAGCGGAGTGTGCGGACGGACGGCGTGTGCACACGACGCTGCGGTGGTCGAGCTCGAGATGCATATGATCGAGAGCATTCAACAAAAACGAAGTTGAGGACAACTTGAACCGGAAGTGTCCATCAGTACCCCGACTTATACTCCTCCACCCCGACGCCCTCGTCGTCGTCCTTGGATTCGCCGGGGCAGGGGACGCAGGACGCGCGGTGGTCGGGCCAGGCCGCGATCTGGCACTCCGCGGAGCAGTAGGACGCCGTTCGGCAGCGGGAGCAGAGGTGGGCCGCGGGCAGCGCGCAGCCCGGCGCGGCGCAGACGGGCCCGGCGAAGGCGGGCTCGGGCGCCGCGCGCGTCGACGGCTTCTCCCGCGCGACCTTCGTCTCGTGGTTGCCGCTGAGCTTGCGCATCATGGCCACGAAGTCGTCCTCGGCCTCGCCGCCGTCGTCGTCGAAGTGCTCGGCCTGGACGGCGACGGTCGCGTAGAAGTCGTCGGTCTTGCAGAGCGCGTCGGCGCCCAGGGCCGTGCAGCCGAAGATCGAGAAGTCGGCGCCGTCCGCGGGCCGCGCGGGCACCGCGGCCTCGGGCGACCGGAGCAGGAAGTTCTCGTCCTCGAGGAGCGCGGCCTGGGCGTCGCGGATTTTGGGGTCGTTCGACGGTCGGCGCTTCGGCGCCTTCTCCGGCGTCGCGCGCGACTCGCGGTGCCGGTCCTCGAAGCCCGCGGCGGCGTCCGCGACGAGGCCCGGCGTGCCCCGGACGTCGCCGCCGCCGAAGCGCGCGCCGGCGTCGGGCCGCCAGCCCTCGAGGGGCGGCGGCGGCGCCGCCGCGAGCTCGACGGGCTCCGCGACGGCCGGCGGCGGCGGCGGCGCCATCTTCGGCGGCGACAGCTTGAGCCGCGGCTCCATGGCCCGCAGCGCGCCGCGCGCGTCCGGCGGCAGGGCGAAGGCCGCGGGCCCCGTCGACGCGCCGTCGAAGTAGGCGACGCCGGCGAGCTCGCAGTCCCAGTTCGACTCGTCGCGCGCGTCGAACGGTTCCCGCCCGAGGAGGACGGCCTTGCAGTGGCCGCCCTTCAGCGTCGGCATGAGCCAGGAGAAGACGCGCACGTCCTCGAAGACGTCGCAGGCCGCCCGCGCCGCCGCGCGGTCCAGGAGGTCGCCGCGCGCGCTCCGCGCGGCGACGCCGCCGTCGGAGAGCACGGCCTTGACGGCGACGTCGATCTCCTTGGCGTCGAAGGGGTTGCCCGCGTCGGCGTCCAAGATGACGACGTCGAAGCGCCGGCGCGCCCGCGCGGCCTCGGCGAACCAGGACGCCGCGTCGCCCGAGTCGACGGATCTGAGGCGGCCCCGGAGCTCGGCCCGCATTTTCGCGGCGTCGAGCGCGGGCAGGTGCGCCGCGACGAAGTTCGACGCGACGCCGTCGACGTCGACGACGGCGATGGACTTGATGACGGACGGCGCGTGCTTGACGAGCTCGCGCGCGACGCCCGCGCCGCAGCCGCCGACGACGAGCACGTCGAGGCCCGGCACGAGGCCGCGCCTCCGCTTGCGCGCGGCGGCGGCGCAGACGGCGACGTGGCTCAGCATCTCGTGGTAGGGCCGCTCGTCCGCCTCGCTCAGCCGCACGGCGCCGTCGACGACGAGCACGCGGCCCGCCTCCCGCGTCTCCCAGATCTCCAGGGTCTGGCCCTGGTCGTTGGTCGCCGAGGCGACGCGGGCGCCGACGCCCAGGGCAACGATGGCCTCGGGCACGGGCGCCGCCGGCTCCGCCGGCTCATCGGGCATCGCCGCCTTCGTCGAGCAGCCCCCCATAATGCGTTCTCAATGATTTCCCCAGTAGTACCTGGTCGTGGTTGAAGCCTTCAATGAAGGTAAATTTATTGAAGGGGCCAGGCGCCGGCGAAATTAACATGTGAAGACAACAACAAGGGTCGAGCGGCGCCATGGCCCTCCCGCGCCGCGTCAACGTCGTCAGCTGGAACATGTGGCTCATTCCCACCTACGGCGCCTGGAACCTCGGGCGCATCGATCGCTGCCGCGACCGCGTCGCCGGCGAGACGGCGAAGCTCCTGGCGGCGACTTCAACCACGCGCTGCCGTCGCAGACGACGGGCGGCGCCGCGGCCGAGGAGCCCAAGAACTGCAGCCGGAGCACCTACGTGCGCCCGTGGCTGCCCGCGATCGCGTCCCTGGACCTGCTGCTCCGCGATCTGGCGCTCGGCGGCCGAGCGCGCGTGGCGCGCCTGTCGCCGGACGCGCCGACGAACCTCGACGGCACCGTGGACCACGTCTTCGCGGTCACGCGGGTCGGCGCGGCCGCGACGTACGCGGCGCGGACCGCGGCGACGGTGCCGGACCCGGCCGGGGACGCGAGCGACCACCTCATGGTCGCGTGCGCGCTCGACCTCGCGTCCGGCTAGAAAAATCAAAATGTAAAACGGCGGCTTGCGTCCGGCTAGAACATCATTTGAGATGCAAAACGGCGGCTCGCGTCCGGCTAGAATAGCAAAATGTAAAACGGCTCACGTGAGCTTGGGGAGGGAGCCCGGCGGCGGCGGCGCCTTGGCCTCGAGCGTCTTGCTCTTCTTGCCCGGCGGCGCGAGGACGGGCGCGGCGGACGGCGCGGCCGCCGCGCCGTCGCCGTCGTCGAGGAGCCCGCGGAGCGCGTCGCGCACGGCCGTCACGACGATGGCGTCCTTGGGCGGGACGCGCGACTCGTCGACGAGCTTGCGGGACGTCCAGACCTTGACGGCCGCGTCGCTCGCGGCGGCCTTGTCCTTGGGCGCGCACCGCGCGAGGTGCCCCACGGCCGCGAGGCTCGACCGGTAGAAGGGGAAGGGCAGCTTGTCCAAAATGTCCTGGTCGTGGCCGTGGCGCGCGGCGAGCTCGCTGAACTTCGTCGTCCAGCGGTCGTAGCACACGGACTCGTAGTGGAGCACGACGGCGACGGACGGCGGCAGGTCGACGGTCGCCGAGCCCGCGCTCGGCGGCGCGTCGCCGCGGAAGTGGTGGGGCCCGTGGGCGCGCAGGCCCGGCGCGCTCACGCGGCCGAAGGACTTGCCGTTCGTGTAGGAGCTGTACTTGGACGTCGACGCGACGAACGTCGTGCATTCCACAAAGGGGTGCGCGCACGACCGGTCCGGCGCGAGCGCCTCGACGTTCTTCACGTGGGCGTCGCAGGCGTGCTTCGGCGCGTTCTTTAAAGCGGCCCAGAGCGCGCCGACGCCGCCCGGCGCGTGGAGCAGCTCGTCGTCGTCGACGTGCAACAACCACTCGACGCCGGACGCCCGCGCGCGCGGCACCGCGCACGCGACGTTGACGGCCTGGCGGTCCATCTGCACGAAGTAGTCGCGCTGCGTCTTGGCGACGAAGGTCGCGTCGACGAAGGCGTTCCACGGCGGCCGCAGGAGCAGCGCCGCGAGCTCGGGCGTGTCCTCGCAGAGCACGAAGAACCGCTCGACGCCGATGACGGACCGGTGGTAGACGAGCCACTGCTCGAAGTCCAGGGGCCGCTTCGTCATGACCACGATGCCCAGGCGCGGCCGGTCCCGCTCGCCGACGCCCCGCGACGCGCTCCCGGCCGGCGCCGCGAGGCTCACAGTCGCCGCCTCGCTGGGCTTCATGTAGTAGGCCTGCGCGGCCGTCGCGTGGTAGAACTTCTTGTCCTTCTTAGTCGACGACATGGCCTTCGATGCGATCCGCGAGGGTTCTCTCGTCCTCCGCGGCGCCCGCGCGAGGCGACGCCGCCGGCGCTGCAGCCCTCGATCGGCCTCGACAACGCTTTGTCCACAAAGGCGGGGTTTGCTCCGGCGACGGCGTCCGATGGCCGGGGTCGGACGTAACGAAAAAAGTAACCCGTTTTTAAGTCGTTGGCGCCGATTGTAAGTCGTAGGGTAAGTCGTCGGGCCCCGGGGTAAGTCGTTGAGCTCGCCAAAACGGACGGATGACTGGGCACTCGCCAAAACCCGCGGGCTACGAGGGACTTGACGACGCTCGCCAGCGCGTCGCTGCGCCCGAGCCAGCGCGTGGCGCACGAGTGGAGGATCTTGCCACTCTCGTCGTTGGCCTTCTGGACATCCACGGCGCCGACGCCGTCGGATTGCCCCGCCGCGCGCGCGCTCCGCGAAAGCGGCGCCCGCCCCGCGCGGCCTCGGGCCGAGGTAGGCCGCCGGGTAAGTCGTGGAGTCCGAAAGTAACCCGTCAGGTAAGTCGTTTTGGCCGAATGTAAGTCGTAAGTAACATGTTAGGTAAGCCGTTACGTCCGACCCCGCCGATGGCCGACGCGCCCCCCGTCCAAACTACCGGGGATTGGTGTGCGGCCAGGGACGCCCGGTGGCTAGACGTGCCAAAAACAAGCGCTCGCTTTGGGACGAATGGCTAGCCGTTTCGCTGGCTTGAGTACCAAACACGTACGCGCGGGCCGGGAACGGAGACCTCTGAGGCCAAGCTTCCGACGCACGGCAGCCAGGTCTGGTGGTCGGAGTGGCCTTCCATGACCCCTAGGCGTAAGCCTGACCGTCGGTGCCCCCATCGGAGGTGGTTCTGGCGTCGACCAAATTCCACCGCGCGGGCCTCGTCTCCGCGGGGCTGCCGCGGCGTACAAGTCCGTGGCCGCGGTGCGCGCCACCATCGATGGCGTTGGATACGCCCCTTGGTTTAGGGCGCGACGTGGGTGTGACGGCTGGGGAACGCCGTTTCCCTGCACTTTAATCGACCACCCCGCCGCGCACGCAGGGGTGCCGGCGGCGCCACTGGCGGAGCAAACCCCGCCTTGTCCACACGACTCGGGGGACGGCAACAGCGATTGTTGAAGGTCTCATTGAAGTTCTGATAGCCGCTAGCAAGACTAGATAGCCAGCCAGCCTACTAGAGCGCCTCGGCTCGCTTCGCCACCGGCCGACGCGCGAGTCCCGAAGCTTACGTCCCGCGCGCGCTTGCCGCGCGGTGTCTTTCGGCCGGCGCGGGGTGCGACCCCCCCCGCGGTCCCGGCGCTCAGGAGAAGGTGAAGAGGTTCTTGTCCGTCGCGGAGGCGTGGCGGAAGCGGGAGTTGGAGAAGAGGATCTTGCGCACCGACGACTTCCAGACGGGCGTCTTCCGGAGGTCGGACTCGAGTTTCCAGTTGAGCTGGTCGAAGAAGTCCTCCTCGACGATGGCGCAGATGGCCTTGAAGTCGCCCTGCTCGTCGGGGCACTTGCGCAGCGCGTGCGCGATCATGTCGCTGTACGTCGCGGCGCCGCCGCCGCGCGCGGCCGGGTCGCCGCCGGGCGCGCCGCCGGCGCCGCGGTCGTACCAGGCCTGGCCCGGCGGCGGCGCGGCGCGCGCGCCGAGGGCCGCGGACGCGGCCACGGGGCGGTAGGGGTCCGCGGCCGCGTAGGCCGCGGGCGGCGGCGGGCTCCGGCGCGGCGCGGCGCGCTGGCGCTCGCGGAGCACGTAGCGCAGGCTCACGCGGCGGTGGGGCGTGCGGCCCGCGTCGTCCTCGTCGTCCTCGAACTTGAGCACGATCTCCGACGGCGCGCCGCCGGGCCCGCGCTTGGGCGCCTTGGACACGACGGCGCGGTAGAACGACGTCGTCTCGGGGAAGATCGCGACGACGCGCTCGCCCTTGGCGAGCTCGTCGAGGCCGTCCTCGGGCAGGCCCAGGCGGCGCACGCGGGACGCCGGGAGCTCGATGATCTTCGAGTCGTCCTCGTCCTGCACCGCGTACGCGTCGGACGTCGCGTCGTATTTGACGACGGACGCGAGGATCCACGACCCGTTCTCCTCGCTCAGCGACACCTTGGCCGCGACCTGCTCGTGGACCTTGGCGACGCCGTCGACGTCGTCGCCGTAGGGCTCGCCGCCGTCGACGCCGTCCAGGTGCTCGAAGAAGCGCCCGAGGATCGCCTCCTCGTCCACGGGCATCGCCTCGAAGTGGCGCGCGACGGCGACGCTCAGCTCCGTCTCGCTCGCGTCCGCGCGCACGTTCAGCCGGTAGCGGGCCTAGAGGGACGCGGGGGTGAGCCACGGCGCGCGGCGGGGGGGGTGGGTCGGACGCACCACGTAGGTCCGCAGCGCCTCGAGGCTCAGCACGCGGAAGTCGACGCCGAGGCTCTTCGGGTACCTGCGGCGTGTCGCGGGTCATCGGTCGTGCCGGGGTGGCCGGTCCCGCCCGCCGGTGGCGCCGCGCGCCCCGGCCCGCGGCGGGCGGGTGCACGGGCTCGCCCGTTCCGAACGACGGTCCAAAAAGCGACGGCGGCAATCGCGGGGCACGGCGCCCGAGGCGCGACATCCATTGCGACGCGGGGATGCACTCTCGCTCATTGCGGGTGCCAATGTCGAGCGCCGACATGGTCCGCGCACCGCAGTCCTGTCGTCGAAAGCGCAAGGCCTTTGGCGCCGTCGATTGCGATGCGATCGGCCACTGCATGCGAGAGCTCCTCTCTCTCTCTCTCTCTCTCTTAGCGTCGAGCCGATGTAGCCTCGATGTTGACGCGCTCGGCGACGTTCCCGCGGCGGCACTTGCGGCGGCGCCCCCCCAACTTAGGACCCCTTATCCGCCGCGCCGCACATGGCCGCGCCGAAGAACTCCGCGCTCGCGTCGCCCGCGCAGCCGAAGTCGGCGCCGAAGCCGACGGGCTCGGGCGCGCCGCCGACGGACGTCTTCGGCGAGATGGGCTCGAGGTCGCCCGAGGCGATGGCGACGGCCGTCGCCGCCGCCGCCGCCGTCGTGTGGTACTCCGGGAAGTCGAGGACGTTCTCGAGGAGGTGGAGCGCGCGCATCGTCTCCTCGCCGGCCGTCGCCGCGCGGGCCGCGACGGCGTCGCGCGGCGCGGACGCCGCGGCGCCGAGCTTGGCGAGCACGCGGCCGCAGACGGCGCGCAGCGACTCCGGCGGCACGACCGTCGCCTGCTCCGCCAGGTCCTCCCACGCGGAGCCCGCGCCGACGCGGCGGTGGCCGTGGTCCTTGTGCTTCTCCACGAGCTCCCGCGAGTGCTTGATGAGCGCGTAGCGGACGAGCTGCCAGACGCCGTAGGCGCGCATGTGGGCCGGGAACGCGTCGAAGAGGCCCTCCTCTATGAAGGCCGCGAAGTCGACGCCGTGGAGCGACAGGACCTCGGTCGTCGCGCACGCGCGCACGGTGTAGAGCCGCGGCCGCGGCTTCCGGTCGCCGACCGTCAACATGCAGATGTCCTCGCCGACGGTCATCTTCGCGCTGACCATGGTGAAGGAGCACAGCGGGTTCACGGACTTCTCGCCCCAGCAGACGCAGCGCCCGTTCTGGAGCACGTACATCTCCTCGTTCGGCGTCAGATTCTGGTGGATCAGCGTGTCCCGGTCCATGAAGAACTTCGTCGAGAGCAGGTGGCTGATGCCGAGCACGAAGTTGTCGTGCTCGTAGATGAAGCGGTTGATGTCGCGCTCGAACGCGAACCCGAGCTCGTAGCTGTGGACGTCGACGCGCGAGTGCACGAGGTCGTGCTCCTCGGTTTCGTCGTCGTCGTAGCGCACGGAGAAGAGCAGGGCGTCATCGACGTGCGTGACGACGCAGGGCCGCGGCCGGCCCGGCAGGTGCTGGCGGTCCCTGGTCTCCGGGTAGACCGCGAAGCGCGTGCCCGCGTAGAGGCGGAACGTGCGGCGCACGGCCTGCTCGTAGAAGCCGATGTGGGCGACCTCGCGGCCGAGGTTCTGGTGCGCGACGATGGCCTTGAGGGTCGGCGAGAGCCGCTCGAGGATGCGCTTGTTGTGCTCGTCGCGGAACGTCTTCTCCGCGAGGCCCATGTACTCGCGGAGCTTCATCCGCAGCGCCGGCGGCGTGTCCTGCTCGTCGAGGTAGGAGTTGAGCATGTCCAGCGTCATCGTGTAGTCGTTGCCCACGGGGTCCATGTTGCCGACGACGTTGCACAGGTCGCCGATGAGGAACGCCATGACGATGCAGCCGACGAGGCCGACGATGAGGCAGAGCACCTCCTCGGCGACGTTCGTCGTGACGAAGTCGCCCTGGAGCGTGCCCAGGGCCCAGGTCAGCGCGTCGACGTAGACGGCCCAGATGCCCCGGTTCCAGAACCGGTCGAGCACGGTCATCGCGCAGTCGTTGTCGGGGTCGCGCGGGCCCCAGTCCGGGATGCCGCCGCGCTTCTTGTGGCAGTCGTCGAGCGTCATCGACGCGATCATGCGGATGGCGCAGGCCGTCCAGTGGAGCAGGAAGAGCAGGATGGCGATGTACTTGAGCACGGCCTGCTGGCCCGCGCGCATCGTGTTCCGCGCGGCGATGCGCGCCATGATGCGCGGCTGCTTGAGGACCCGGAGCATCTTCATGAGGCGCACCATCTTGATCATCTTCAGGAAGCCGCTCTTCGCGCTGACGAGCTGGTACGGCAAGATCGACAGGAGGTCCAGCAGGAACCAGGAGCGCAGGTAGTTGACCGCGATGCGCCGCCGGTCGACGACCCACGCGTTGTCCTCGAAGAACGCGGTGTTGAAGCAGAGGCAGAGGTCCGCGAGGAACATGACGTCGACCATGGCGTTGAGCACCGCCAGCACGACGTACTTGTTGTAGCCCGGCGGGCTGCCCGCCGTGAAGTTGTCCGCGTACGCGTCCGGCGCGCGCGTGAAGCTCAGCTGGAACGGCGTCACGAGCATGACGTAGAAGATCAGGACCATCAACCAGACGTCCCAGCCGAAGCGCGCGTCCGTGCGCGGGTCC